GGGCGGCGGATGGGAGCTGCCGAGGAAGGGGCGGGGAAGGGGCGGCCCCGCGGGGGCGGTGCCGAACCGAGCGCTCGCGGGAACCGCCGCAGCCATCGCGGCGTGACCCGGCGCGGCCATGGCCGGCTTCATCAACTTCGCGGACGAGGAGGAGGTGCGGGCGTACCTGGAGAACCTGCACGTAGAGTACAGCTACCAGTGCTTCAAGGAGAAGGACCCGGACGGTAAGGCCCCGCCGCCGCCCCCCGGCCGCCGCCGCGGGGCCGGCGGGAGGCTCAGCCCTTGTCCCGTGCCGTGCAGGCTGCCAGCGCTTCGCCGATTACCTGGACGCCGTGAGGAAGGACTTCGTGGCGGCGGGGCGGGTGCTGCGCGACAACTGCGAGGTGCACGGGCACAGCGAGAGCTGCTACAAACTGGGGGCCTACCAGGCCCTCGGCAAAGGTCGGCAGAGGGGTTCTGGTTGTGACTCCACCACCTCCCTGGACAACCTGTCCCGAAACCGGGCCACCCTCACATCTGCCTGTCCTCCTGACCTTGAAGGGGCAGCTACCTGTCCCGCCCCTTTCATGGTCACCTCGTAAAAGTTGGGGGAGGATGGAAAATCTAAAATTGCTTCCTTCTGAAAAATCAGCTGTATGTTAACTATGTATTATTTTTTTATAATCACATCAGTTTAACAGGTAAGTACAGCCAGTGCTCAGTGTTGCTGCATATTCAGTTAATAACATTTCTTCTTCTCAGTGAAATAAAGTAAGAAAGAATCTCAGACTAGTGACAGGTCAAAATGTATTTGCTGGCACTGTAATGGATAGCAGTTAAATTAGTCAGAGATCTTCCAAATGACAGTACTAAAAAAGAACAATATTTTTACCGTAGTTCAAAACTAGTAGCAATCTTGGTGTAGCTATACTGGCAAAATAATATTTGCCTAGTGTAAGATATTAAATCCATAGATGTATTAGTGGAAAGAAAGTTTCGTGGGTCTGGATTATTTTTTGGTTACTGGCACTGTTGTGATTACTCGTGAGTGGAGGAGAGTTTTCAAAGTCAAAGACATTAGCAAAATGTTTCTCAGTGAGACAACAGTAATGTCTCTGAAGTCCTAGATGTTGACTACTGCAAAACAGAAAGCTCCCGTTTGTTTTAACATGTCCTCCCAGTAATGTTTTGGTTCTTGGCTGACAGGTGGACTCAACCCGGATTTGAAAGCTGCCTACAAATCTTTTGTGAAATCATGTGAGAAAGGCGGGAAGAAGTCAGCAAATGCGTGTCACAGCGCCGGGCTGCTGGCCCAGGATGGGAGAGCCAACAATGATCAGCCTGACCCTGTTGCCGCCAGAGATTATTACACAAAAGCCTGTGATGGCAATTATGCTCCAAGCTGCTTCAACCTGAGTGCAATATACCTGCAGGGAGCACCTGGGGTCCCCAAGGACATGAGCCATGCCTTGAAGTACTCGTTGAAAGGCTGTGAGCTGGGGCACGTGTGGGCTTGTGCCAATGCCAGCCGTATGTACAAACTGGGGGATGGCGTTGAGAAGAATGATGCTAAGGCAGAGGAGCTGAAAAACAGGGCAAAACAGTTGCATAAAGAACAGAAAGAGGCTGCAAGTTCTCTAACATTTGGGGAGTAAAACTGGCAGTTGCAGATATTAAGTCTGTTTTTTTAATGGCAGGTGAACTTATAATTTAAATTGTGAGTGTAGTTTTCATTTAAATAAATATCCTGTATTTGGATATACAAATAAAATCATATTTTTGTTTATACAACAAGTGACATTCTCTGCTGTGCCTTTCTATGTTTTAGAACACACAAGTTTTGCTTAGATACTTCCCTTCTTTTTAAAGACAGCTAAAACTTGTGGTCTTTTGGGAGTTCGTCCCTGTGGTTTCAAGTACAAAGGATCTCTTTTGTGTCCAACACTTCAATATCCAGGCTTGTGCTCTGACCAGTTCTAACACACACAAAAGTCACAACTGCAGATAATCCCAGTTTGGGCAGTCTCAACTGTTCCATTTCTCACGAGCATTTTCAGAACTTTGATAGCTGCATACTTGTGTGAGCTGCTCTAAGGCATCGATATTAATCTAATTCTGTAGGTCTAGGCCAATTCCCAGCTCCCTTACTTCCTCCAGTTGCCAACTCATTTGTTACTGTGTATCTGCCTGTCATGCCTGAGTGCTTCAGACTGCTCTCCCAACATATTTGATTGCCCCTCATTTGATCACACAAATTGTTTTACCTTCCTGCCAGCTTCTGGGACATTATGTTCTATTTTTTCTAATACAAATTTAGGGAACAAGGTGCTAACTCATCAGATCTTGGATTCAAATCCATAACCTATATATATATATACACAAACTGTAGCTAAACATACAGATTCTGAAACAGCTGTTTAAATAAGCAGGACTGTATTTGTAAATGTACTCATGAGCTGACAGAATACTTTGTAATTTTAGTGTGTGTAAATATATATGAAGTTTGTGGTGTGTTTTGTTGTATATTTACTACTCAGAACCTGAATCCCCTAGATTAAATAAAGATACAAACTTCACTATTGAAATAAGTGAAGAGGGATTAAAAGCAACATTACTTTGGCTGTGGCCACACGTGAAAGCAGAGTTGTTGGAATCTCACTGCATGTATGAATTAAAGCAGTTCTCCAATTTAACAGCCTTCTTGGGTAGGATGTTTGCTGCTGGAACAGAAACCCGAGCAGCACAGCACAGCACAGTGGTGACACAGGCACACTGTAACAACAGATGGCAGTGTATGAAAACATTATTGCACACTGGTGTGGCTCTGGTATTCAGCAGCCTGGAAAAAAACAAATAGTGGTGGCAAAATCAGAGTAATTTTTCTGTTAACTGTTATTATTTTTTGGCAGTTCAAAAGGGTAAAGCTCTTAGAGGAACACTCTTTGCCTGATTTTTTGCTAGGTACTATTCTGGGCATTTGTTTCACTTGGGAAAAGTAAGTAAATGCTACCTCTGTGGAGTGTAACACTAGTAATAAAACAGTTTGAAATCCATGTTTCCGGAGTAGGCAATTACAGGTGGGTCAAGGCACTCGAGAATTGGATGATATTTTAAGCTCTGTAATGCTCACTGCCACAGAGTGCCTTGTTCAGATCCTCAGCCCAAGCAGCAGAGCAATTTTCTTCCAGCAGGACTAATGACTGTCAGTGATCCTCCCAGGAGCTTCCAATCAACACAGCAAACAAGCAAACATCCACCAGAGAACTGTGGATAATTAAAGCCACATATAAAGTGCATGTTGTGGGGAGGTTTTTTCTTAGCTCTTGAGAACTCACAGACTTGCAGAGCTTAAATACTGTAAAGCAAACCATTTTCATAAAAGCTGTGAAGTGAGTAACATAAGTTTATGAAGTGTCATCCAATTTTGCACCACTGGTTGAAAAGGCAAACCCAAGTTAAGAAAGGCTCTTGTGTTTTCAGGCTGTCTCTGAACAGTTTGCTGCCTGCTCTGGGCACACCAGTATCTTTTTTACACAGATAC